GCCCTCCCGTCCAACACTCTCTCCTCCCGAAGAACCAGAGCCTCTGGGCATCCCACGTGTGGTCCTGAAGCTCAGCTTCCACCTTTAGATTTCTAATCACTGGGTGACATTTGACCAAGTAAACATACTTAACTAGTAAAAAAAATTCTAGAGGGCGCTGTCCATAGGAGAGTGGTTCGCAGACAAAGGCGTGAGGCTGCACTCAGCACTGACACAGGGACCTCTGACCTCTACAGCAGGGGTCACAGCAGGGAGACCAATTCTGTTCTCCCCACCTTGGCACTGAGCAGGGTCCCTCCCATTTCCAGAGGATGCCAATACACCCGAGGCACATCTGCTAATGAAACGGGGGAATGGAACAGTAGGTCCTCGGAGCTGACCCCCCACCTCCCAAGGCTTTCCTCAGAAACCCTCTTCTGCAGGCAGGACACGTGGGAGCAGCACTGACTGGGCAGAGCAGGAAGCCGTCTTGGAGTGGCCACAGTCAGGCTGACCAGCCCCCAAAGCTGGAGCATGGCTCATGAGTTCCTGAGGTCCCACAGGATCAGCTCAGGGAAGGTGCAGCCCAAGGACCAGTGGGAGATGGCAGGGGAGGGGCAGCAGGAACTCCTGGGACACACCATGAGCCACAGCTGCCTTCCCAACCCAAAGTTAGGCTGGGTCTACATGAGAGCTTGGTGGCATTGGAGGCACAGCACACAGGAGTTCTGCCACTAAGCACCTTTCTCCCACCTCCACCTCTTGGGGCGCACTCTCTCCCCGCACAGCACCCTCTCCCAGAAGCAGGTGGGCCTCTGTGTGACTGAGCACTGTCCCCCTTGGTGGCTGAGGGTCCCCTTGGCCGCCCACGATGGCTGGCCAGATGCACCAGGTCTCATTTCAAGAGGCCACAAAGTCACCCTGCGCCAGGCCCCAGGACAGACGTCTCCACAGCCCAGGGGACACACCATGGGGACCTTGGTCAGACTTGCTTCTCTGGGTGAGCAAACTGGGCTTCTGGAGGCTCCCACCAATGCCCTGCCCCCGGCTGCCTGGTGCCAACTGTCACAGAGTCCCCTGGACCATGGCTACAAGCAACATTAGGTTAGACCTGCCCAAGAAGAGGAGCCACTGCCCAGTTCTGACCAAACCTTGCACTTGGCTTTGCTCAGAGGCACAGCAGTGCCCCCTGCATAGGGTCATGCCAGGAAGCAGCTGGGGACCAAGCCGCAGGAAGGAGCTGCTGGGCTGGACTGGTTTCAAACAACCACATTCAAATGTAGGAGTTGAGCAACAGCTAAGCCAAGGAAGGAGATGAAAGTGTGGCACAAGGAACAGGGGAACCCGCCTACGCTGGGGAGGGGGCTACTGCCTCTTTCTTCTCAATTTTTAAAAAATTTAGTTTATTGTTGAGAGTACTACAATGTCCCCCATTTTCCTCCCTTTGCCCTCTCCACCCATCTCTCACCCACCCCCAGGTGCCTTCTTTAATGAGACACATTTACTGTAGTCAGCAGGGAATGGGACAAGACATGTGTAACTTCCAAAGAATGTAAGTCCCCCAGCACACGCAAATCCGTGGGGAGCCAGCTGTGGTACACATATAGAGCAGACCTGGGGTCCAGCCCAGACAGGCGTCCTCAGCTATACTGTCCCTCCCCTGCTCAGCCCCTGGAGGACCATGTGAGTTGACCGTAAGAAGGGCTCCTTGCCCATCTGAGAGCAATTGGCCCCGGCCTCCGTGGTGTGAGGCTGGTTGTGCACACTGAAGAGTAAGGGACCTCGTGTCTAGGGCCCAAGGGAGCAGCACTGCCTAGCGAGGCCCAGGGCCTGCACCTGTCTCCTTGTTTCATCACCGCTGCCTGCAGGTGTGACTGCGACCTGGCCCTGCTTGGGAACCAGGGCCTGGAGGGCAGAGTAAAGACCATGCTCCACTGGCCAGAGGGTGCTGGAGGGACACTCTGAAGACCTCCAACCCGTGGAGCATCAGAGCATCGAGGCGAAGCTACCAAGTCACCCGGAGAACACTGTTCTCCCCACACTGATATCTGTCAGCAGGAGCGGTGGGAGGTGCCAGGGCCCTGCCCACTCCCAAGGAGAAACTATTCACACACAAGTGTTAAGGACTCTGAAGGTCTTATCTGGAAAGGTGGTAAACACTCCCCCTCTGCGGCCCCCCAGTAGTCCCCAGATTCCATCTGTCATTCTGGAGTGTGAGGCAGGAAGGTGCTGAGCTGGTAACACTGACCCTGCAGATGCCTAACCCTACAAGGACTGTGGGGGTAGCAGACATCAGGCCCTGAGAAGGGGATGGAAAGACAATGAAAATTCCTCACTGGCCTCCGCGGGGCCAGTTCCTTCAGCAGGTCCCCTGATGACCCAACGCCACAGCCAAGGGCCAGGCAATGTGAAAATGGCCCAATGCCAGAGTCCTGACAGAAAGACCCTCAGGGAGGCCTTGGGGTGGGGACCCCGGGGCAGGGCTGACCTCTGGCCTGCAGTCTCCCTCTGTGGGTTCTCCCGTCAGCTGTGCTGCTCAAGCCCCTCTCCGCAGCCAGTTCCTCCCCCTCCACAGGCAGCTTCTTCCTGACATACAGGGCACCGGGGCTGCTAAAACCAAGTGCCACACGTCGGGCAGCTTCAAACACCACAAATCCATTCTCCCAGTTCTAAATCCAGAAGTAGAGATCAAGGTGCACAGGGCTGCATTCCCCCTGGAGGCTGTGTTCTGCCTCTTCCAGCTTTGGCTTTGTCAGCAACCCTTGGCCTTCCTTGGCCAGTGGGTGCATCACCCTCTCTCTGCCACCATCATCACATGGCTGGCTCTCCTCTGTGTCTGTGTCCAAATCCCCTCCTCCTTAAGAGGACAGCAGTGATCTTGGATTAGGGCTCATGCTAATGACCTCATTTTAGCTTGATTTCATCTACAAAGACTGTTTCCAAATAAGGTCATGTTCCCAGGTTGGTGGCGGGGGGTAGGACTGAGGCATATTTTTTGGGGGAACACAATTCAACCCCCAACAAAGGGGATCACCTGGGGACACACCCCACCTGATCCATCCCTCCAGGCTGTGCTCTGGTGCTTGAATGGGCCCCTCCCACAGTCCCAGAGCCCATATCTCTTGGGACCCCTCCACAGATATACCTGTGTCCTGCTGCTGTGAATTTCACACAGTCTCTTGCTCACACCTGCTCTCCAGGACACAACCACAGCCCTGCAGGCTTTGCAGTCCCTCACGCAAGCCTGTCCCTGTTGGCCAACCCCCCCCTTTCTTTCTTGCCATTCCACTTTCAGCTTACTCTTAGAACTGCTACCCAGACCTTGCCCTCCAGCCCTGTACCTTGCCCCAAAACTTCTCTGGTCAAAGGCAGTCCCTGCCTGCTGTCTGTCCCTCTCCCCCTTCTCTTCCTGGGGCAACTTTTTTTTAAAATGTCTTTATTGGTTTCAGAGAGAGGAAGGGGGAGAGAGAGATAGGAACATCAATGATGGAGAGAGAGTCATTGATCGGCTGCCTCCTGCATGACCCCTACTGGGGATCGAGCCTGCAACCTGGGCATGTGCCCTGACTGGGAATTGAACCGTGACCTCCTGGATCCGAGGTCGATGCTCAACCACTGAGCCAGCCAGCCGGGCTGGGGCAACTTCTTAGCCCTCCCACCCTCCTTGGGAGTTCAGCAGCCCTTCCATACCCAGACACACATGGTTTCTGCAGCCCTCACCACAGATGCCCCAAACTCCCCTGAGCACAGTGCATCACCGCCTCCTACCAGGGAGAGGGCCACTGCAGTATCAGCGCCGCCTCACTCTGCGCACAGGTGCCTCCCTCAAGCTCCTGCACCTGGGACCACTCTGAACCGGAGCCCTGGGGAACCCTTAACACACAACAGGCCCAAGCTCCAGTCACCTCTGCAGGCTGCTCCTTCACCCTGACCTACACTGTCCCAAGAGTGGACTTGGCAGTAGTAACCGTCATGTCACGAGTCCTGCTTCTCCAAAAAAACCTCACACCTTGGCATGCAGGTCAATGCTTCCTGGATGAACTCTGCCTCACCCTGCCCCTGCTCAAGCAGACTTTCCACCCCAAAATGGCTCCTCCTTTGTCCTTAAGCCATGACACTGCTATAGGCTGCGGCTTCCATTAGCCTCACTAGTCCTGGGTGAACTGCTCAGCCTCTAAAACCCTCTTAGAATCTCCCCCTGCTCCATTCCTGCACATCAGCTTAGACCCAGTGCTGGCTGGTAGGCAGACTCATCCTGTAAAAGCAAGCACCCTGACTCCCCCACCCCTTCACTCGGCCCTGCCTCCTCCACCTCTCCAGGGTCCCTGTGCTGCAGCCAATGGAGGCCCAAACCTACCCTTCATAAGCTGGCCTGGCATATCTGCTCAAGCTGGGGTCCCAAGACCCTGTGTGAACACGCTGGTCAGTGGGGCCTGAAAACATGGATTCAGCCCTCAGCACCTGCAGCCAGGGGCTCAGGTGAGGGATGGTTAGCTTCAAATCTTGCGGAGTTCCAGAAGCTTTTGAATAACAAAGGCACAAACGAATGGGGAAGCACACTGACTTGCAGGAGTCTTTTCTCACCTGGAATGACTCATCTCACTGAGCTCCCCTAACCCCACCCCAGGACTGGCACACAGGTGCACCCCTGCTGCCCTATCAGGCGCAGGGCCGCACAGGGAGGCCAACCCTCTCCTGACAAACCACAGCCCGCTTTCAGCTTCCAAGGCAGAGACCACGGCTCCCGGGCTGGGTCCTGGCCCACTTTCTCATGAGCAGTACTTCTATCACCCCATCACACCTTGCTGTTCCCTGAGGTCAGGCCCAGGTCTTCCAAACTAAAGGAGTAACTGACTTTTTAAAAGGCTTCAACACTCAAAATCCAGACGAACCCACCTACATAAACTGTGCCATCTGACCCAGAACCGGCCTTGCCAAAATACCAAGAACCGCTCTGATGTTAATGATAAATTAGCTGAAAGCTGCTGAGTAATAGCCCTGGCAAAGCCCCATTCCTGACATGACACAGCACATTAGAGAGGCGCCGCGATCTCCAGGGCCAGGGGACACGCGGGGACAACGCACATACTGCACAGAATTAAAGGCCAGATTGGGGGACTCAGAGACCAGAGGGAGCTCCCCACACCCACCCGGTCCGGGCCGTCCTCCCCCAATTACAAGACAGAGAGACACCGAGCACACCTGCTCACCGCGGGTCTGAGTTTCCGACGGTGCCGGCGCAGGCGGCGATTCGCAGAGTCAGGAAACCGTCCTCTCCCGGGAGCAAGAGACCCACCTCCGCTAGGTGACTAAGGCTCCGCCGGAGAGGCCTCGCGGCGGGCGCCCACGCAGGGACCAGCGGGGCCTCTGCAGAGCAGGCTCCTCAAGAGCACAGATCTGCACGCACCTCACTCCGCAGCCCCTGGGAAAGCTGGTACCGACCCCTGCTCTCGCACCTGGCGCGGGCACCGAGGACCCGCACGAGCAGCATTTGGAGGGGAGCGCAGGGCGGGGCGGGGGGAGGTGCAC